ATCTGCTCTCCCGGGCCGCTCATTCTCGATTTCTGCCGCGTGCCTATCGCGTTCTCGCACGCGAGAGGCGATACCGGAGGCGCGCGTCTACAGGGTGCTCGGCGAAAAGCGCGGAAAGACAAACACGATCCTGCGCGACACCTCAGCTCCGCGGAGTTGCGGACTCGACTGTTGCGGCCGACTTATTATATCGGCAGATATTTCATTCGTACTCTCTATCACTTGTTGCGACTGGCTCATTTCCAACGTCGCGGCGATGAAGCTTCAAAGTGGAAACTCATTAACAACCCACCATCCCGTGAAACTAACGAAAAGGACAAGATCACCCGCCGCGGTTCGTTTACATCCCGTACATCTCGTCGAGACCCTTTAATTCTCGATATTCAATCGCTTCCTGATTCGAGCCGAAGAAAGGAGACACGTATCGTCGTGGGAGCGACCAAAATTCCTCGTATAATTAGAGCGCCATGTTTCCCCGGCGCTCTGTTCGCGCGACCGTACGATCGGCCAACGGAAAGCTTGCCCATCATTTGTTGCGCAAATTTCAGAACGCATTCGTCCTCCTGCCGAATGGCGGAATTCTCTCATCGGCCAAGTCGGACACGTCGCGAGGCTCACAGAAAAATGACAGACATTCTTTCTACCCACGACATTCTTACACCCTGTATACATTCACTCCGGTTTCTGCCGCACATTCGGCCGCCACTACCTCCGCGCCTCCGTGCCTCGTAAACCCGTGCCTTATATACCGGTATCAGCATGCCGGCTCAACACATCTCCCGTTTCCTACTCTTCTCCGTCTCGTCCACCTTCAAGAGCACACCGCGGAGCGGAGCGGAGCGGAGCAGAGCAGAGCAGAGCAACGCGACTCAGCGCAGCGCAGCGCTTCCTCGTTTCCTGACGATTGTGTCGGTGTACATCCAGGAGCGCGCGGATACGCCCACCACCACGACAATACGTGTTTGACACGCACCGTGCGCAGCGCGATTGTTAGCCTCCATCGGGGAAAAAACATTCCGCATTATTCGCGGTACGCACGTACGCACACGGAAGGCGGATGTACGGCTGCGCGGATGTTGCCCGGTGTAAAAATCGCCGCAAGAGCGATTCGAGAGAGGGAGAGAGAGAGAGAGAGAGAGAGAGAGAGAGAGGGGAGGGGGAGAGAGAGAGAGAGAGCTTTTTTTATTTTTAACCCTCTCAGAGCGTTTTACCCGCGAGAATAAAAACACAGGATTTGCTGCGACGACTATTTGGTTTAGAATATTTTCGGAACATTTTCGGGCGAATCGGCTCTTTGTTTCTCTCTCTCTCTCTCTCTCTCTCTCTCTCTCTCTCTCTCTCTCTTTCTCGCGTGAACGCGGACGAGTTTGCGTGTGACTAATAAAAAGGTTGCCGAGAAAAAGAGATATGTCCATTTTGCATAACAGATGCCGAGTCTGAAAGGATTAGCAAAATTCAGGACCAATGGTGCGACATGACGTTGACCGATGAGACTGGAACATGACACGCAAACTTTACGCCTCCGAGAATGTATTATTATAGATATTCGCTAGTCATTCCTGATTTTTTTTTCTCAGAGCGTAAGAAGCATTTCGTAAAAACGTTGCGCGCGTATAAGTGGATAGACGCAAATAGAATTTTACATGCAAGAGAAAATATTAGAATCTTCCGGATTGTATATGCGAATTCATATACGATGTTAAGGGACTAATGCAAAATGTAAACCGCATTAACGCGGACGTTTTAATTATCGGTGATGAGGAAGAAAAAGGAGAGGACGCGCAATATGAAGGATGTTAAATAATTACTACGGACTCTCGCTCGCTTGTGAGAAGATTCCGCGAGGATAATTATGCCGCATTACAAAAAAAAATTGGACGAGCGGATAAATAGAAGGAAAAAAGGAAGAAAAAATGAATTTCCGCGCAGGTAAAAAATAACAGCTACAAGGTCGAGAGTCTCTCTCGTAATCGCGATGTTGACATAATACAAGGAAACTTGTACCGCGCGAATCTGCCGATAAGTGTAGAAAAAATAAACCAAGACGGCGGAAGGTATGTCATTAAAATGTAAATGTCTGAGCGCCCGATCGATCGATCGAATGAACGATCACACGACACGAGCGATAAAAGTCAAGCTACAGATTGCGATACCGGAGCGTGAACGGTTACAAGCGCGATTCGAAAACCGCGGAGCGACGAAGTACGTATTGGAAATAAGTGACGCGTGCGGTATTGCAAAGTCGACATGTCACAAGAGACAGGGGAGGGGAGGGGGAGAGAGGGGAGGGGGAGAGAGAGAGAGAGAGAGAGAGAGAGAGAGAGAGAGAGAGAGAGAGAGAGAGAGAGAGAGAGAGAGAGAGAGAGAGAGAGAGAGAGAGAGAGAGAGAGAGAGAGGGCGAGAGAGAAGGAGATAGAAAGAGAGAGGACGGACGGCGGAAAGAGGAAGGGAGTGAGAGGAAGGACGACGGACGGAGAAAGAAGCATTGGCACGCTCTGGTACCGACTCCCCGGTACCGCGCGGCTCCGAAAGCACGAGAGTCACCGTGAGATGGACGGAGCGGCACGGGACACGTTGTTAAAGTGCTGAGAAAGGAGCGAAAAGAGCGAGGAGAGACGAGGAGAAAAGGAGCAGTTACCTTCGGCAGATCGGCAGGTCGCTCGGACGGCGACGATGGAGAGAGAGGGAGAGAGAGGGAGAGAGAGAGAGAGAGAGAAGGAGAGAGAGAGAGAGAGAGAGAAGGAGAGGGGGGGCGAGGAAAAAGAGAGAAAAAACAATTGACAAAGACAGACTCGCCTTTTCCTCCTGTAGCCGTTGTCCTGAAAGCGGGAACTCGTTGAAGTCGCTCGTATCAGTAAGCAATGCGGCAGCGGGGGACACAAATTTGTTCACCGACGCATCCCTTCTTCACATGCGCGCACGGCTACAGACAGACCGTTCACCTTCGACCCACAGGGTCCCATCATCACTCACGGACCGCGCGATCGTCGGCCGCCATCCGCGCGCGATTCTTCCTCGCGATTCTTCCGCTCGGCTCGTGGGCACAGACGGGGGACAGACACCGGCTCGGGCTGGTGAACGGGCGGGCACGCGGAACGCGCAGAAACGGAACGTCGCACAACACGCGCGCGCTGCAAAAGGATGTAACACTCGCGCTCGCGCGAGTCTCGCGATTCGCGCGACAATCCCGACGAGATGACGTTCCGGCAGCGAGACGTGGAGCGCGTCGTCGTGGCGCGTTGTCCGCGCGGAAGGAACGTGTACCCTCTCGGCGGGCTACAGCGAGGGCGAGCGCGCGCGGAACAGAGCGCGAAATCGCTTGGCGCGCGTACGAATGTCTGCTCCGTACTGCCGAGCAGCGCGGAGCGTGACAACGTGAATACCATTCGAAGGTTATGCCGCCGCCTGGTCCGCCATGTGCAACCGTTGGCTCGTTTGACTCTACCTGTGCCTGCCTATCGCCACGATTCTCCATTCCTCCCACTCCGGGCCTGGCCGCGATACCGTACGCGCGGCGAGCAACCTGAAGCGGTTTACCTGGCGAACTCGCCGGACTCGCACGAGTCTCGCCGAAATCGGCCGACGATTCTGCGCCGAGCGCCATTTAAATTTTTGCGCGCGTCGCCGAGCGCGCCAGATGTTCGAGATCTCGCACCGCGCGCCATCGGCGCGCTTTCAAACACGCCTTCCTATCGCGTGCACGCGTATGTAATATGTGGATCGTAACGTGCGCCTGACAATGGTGCCAAATGCGGCTGCAGGTTTGCCGGACGACCAGTTCGGAGACAGCGTTCAACGTTAACACGAATGAGCGACAAGTCGCGCGTGCAACGTTACTGTGCGTGTGTGTGTGTATGTGTGTGTGTGTGTGTGTACCTTATACGACACATTTGAACGAACGTAGAGTAATATGTATGCTCAAACGAAATGGGTAAATAAATAATGATTGGAGTAATTTAAATACAATAATTAGGTTTAGACAAACACTGTTGCAAATTGCAACGTAGATGTGAATCGGCTCGACAAATTAATTCACGTTCGATATCCTCTTGGCGGATACGATGTTGAAATCGATTACGATAAACCTTTTATCAGCGCGTTCTCGGAATATAGCGGCGCCATTCACACAGACGAATCATTGCGTTATTGTTATACGTTCGTCATATGAAGGAATAAAGAAAAATTGTAATCGTTACAATAAGAACACGCTAATATGTGTAATTTGCTCGTACGAGCAACACCGAATGTGATTCTTTCTTCTCAGCAAAAAGAAAAGAAATTTTCCCAAACATCTTTCCAGTACTAATCCAAGTGTGTAATTTCGACCATCAATGGAGGAAAATTTGAACCTGTTGACGAGTTTTAATGTGTCAGTATCCAAGTATTTGATTTTATATTCGCGGTTTGCAACTCGTACGATCAACGTCTTACTTTTATCCCTATTAAATCTCTAATCGACATAACCATATAATGTTACGCGTTTATCTGACGAGCGACGATAACTGACGCAAGTGAAGATCGATCGTAGCCAAACCACATACTCAAATTCGTGCGTGTTTGCTCGAGAAACGTTTATGATGAGACAACAATATCCCGCCCGGCTCGGTGAGACGGAATGTCTCATTTGCTTTAAAAACACCTGCTCAAAGAATAACACGTCACATCAGCGTTTGAAATAACGAGACATAAATGAATTTAAATGAAAATGTGACTGCTCCAAATAGCTACTTCTAGCTAATTCTAGAGTGCCTTACACTTCTTCCGTCTCTGGCGAATTTTTCATTATTACGTTTATTTGTCTACAATTCCCAAGATCCTCCTGACGAATAATTCCCCATTGAAATGTCTGCTTGTGCTGATTTTACGTTGCAAACAAGATACCACCACCCTATCTTTTCAACGCTTCATTTATTTCCGCTCTTTGAAGTTTGAATAAACTCGCATAAACGCCACCGCGCTCACGACTGATGATATAAATACTAAAAATACAATAAACTCACCCATTTTATTCGCGCTTCTTCTCCGGACACGCAGACATATCGTCCGGGACTTGATGCACTTGAAACAAACAAATACAATTTATTCGAATCAAGTATGTAGTTAAATAACAGATTAAAAAACAGATTAAAAAAATGAAATATAATATAACATATCCTATATAAATATCTGTTTTGTCAATTTATTTAAACTTCCAATTTTGATAGTTCAAAGAATAACAAATTACCTGGTGTATATATCGAATGACTTCCTCATGAGTTGCATCTTCCAAAGTGCAACCATTCACTTCTAAAATCTCGTCAGCCACTTCTAGAGTGGCGTTATCCACATTATCCGCCGGCGATCCTGCATGAAAACAGACATAGACCTGTTATAATCTGGAATTTGGCGATAAAGGTACTCAATACCGAATGGGAAAAGTAACGGACGATTTAGCGGATGCGCTTTGCTTTGAACGGATATTCCAATATACACGCAGACGCGATAACACATTCAATCGTTCATAAAAAAACTAATCATTATAGGCATATAGAAAATCGCTGTTTAAGCATCCGTGAATGTAACATATAAAATCTGCTTGCGGCACACGCGAACGTATTATCAGCCCAACCACTCACAAAAAAGCAACAGAATAGCCACAAATCAATTATAAAACTAGTCGACTGACATATTTCTTTCTAAATTCTACAGAAAATCGAAAAGTTATTGTCTTCTAGCGAAATTCAATCAGGAAACGTCAGAGACACGAACGACTCTCATCAACGCGTTTTTATGTTTTAATTACGTTTAGCAACATAAAATATCGTAAAATATATCATTAAAAAATGTAACACGAGTGACTTCTGGTAATTAATAACATGAAGAAATGTTTTACTTGCGTGAAACAAAACGAGAAAGTTGTAAAAGGACACTTGACAACGCTGTTCAAACAACAAACGTTTCTTTCAGCCTTCCGCCAGCAAGGAGATAATAAATTCTGAAAATATTTGACTTGCTTAATTGAACGCTACATCCTCGGAATAAATATATTTATCGTGACTGATTTATACTTGCAAAACAAAACAAAACAAAAAAAATTGCAGAGTGTATGCGCAGGTTGTATCGACGTACACCGATCTTTTTCGTGTTATTCATTAGCAAAATATACAGTCACAAAAGGGATCCTCCAAAAGAGATCCTCCCCAAGAGGAATATCATTGAACAACAATCAATGAGGAAAGGGTTAAACATAAACCAAGCGAGTCTTCTTTGGAGCGGCGAGGCGTTCGTTACGATAAGTAAACATAAAGGTCAGCCTATAAATAACACGTCGCGAAACGTCCTCCGTGTAAATCGTCGTGCATTACTGTAACACGCCGTGTAAATCGGAAATCCGTCCGTCGCGCGTTTCCCATTTCCGAAAGCACACGACGTGTGCACAACGTGTAAGCTCCGCGCGTATGATCGTGTCTAACAAGAAAACTTTCACTTCCCATTTAAGTTTCTAGCTTTCTACACACATTCGTCACATTCTAACATCTAAGTGTATCTAATGAGAGCTAATCGTCAGGAGATAGTCCTGTATCTCTATTAGGAGAAACAATGATGCGCTCATTTAATAAATATTTGACGATGGATACAATCGACACAAATTCACGCCGTTGAAATAACGTATAGCGGATAAAGTACAATTACAAGAAGGCATTTCGGCAACGCACGTATACACGGGCTCAAAATATAAAATGCTTAAATACTCGAAAAGATTTGATTCGCAGAAAACAAATTCTCTCCGCGGAATTGTATTATATATTTCAAATATTTACGAATGTTGACACGAAAACATACGCGTTTCATCGGCGCGCACACACACGCACACGTGCGCGCGCGCGCGCGCGAAATGTTTGCATTCGTCGAATATCGGGCAAATGAGCGCGTCATCCGCCGTTACGCATCGTGTTAATCCAACGACTGCATACGTACCGTACAACTTCATCTTCCCGTCGTGGCTCATCAATATAATAATGTATCCCCCTAGATCGACCATTTTCGCTAGTAATTATCCTCCGTACACGGGGGGGGTAGTCCGCTATTAGATTACCTCGCGCGGCACTCCGCGCGAATGACGCGCGCAACGTGCACGGTAAATCACTAATTACTTCGTACTACGAGCGTACGGCGGGTCCGCCCCAAAAAATCGGTCCGCCGTTATTAACGTCGTTAGCACATGCCATTTTCCCGGCTTCCTCTTGCATCTTCACTTGGTATTAGTATCGACCTCGTGACCTACTTCGGCCGCTAACATACGACGCTTATATTTTTCGCGACGCGAGAAACGCACTTTTCTCACCTCACTCTCTCGCTTTACTCTCTCGCTCCTCTTTCTCTTCTCGTGCCACGGCTGATCCTGCCGTATGGCGTAACGTGTATTTAACCGCGCCTTTAACGTACCAGCGCACTTGACGATTATGTCGCGCAGAGATGGTCAATCGACTCGATCTCGAAGCTTGCTTGCTTTCTTTCTTTCTTTCTTTCTCCCCGTTAAATGAACACTAAGGCATCTATGCTCCACTCGAGGATGGTATAAGAAAATCGCTACTACAACAAGAAATGCAGTACACGCTCAATAACGAGGAGTTACCTAAGAGATGGACTAAGGAACACATAATCATTTTTTATTCATTCATTTTCATTCGACACTGCCGGTCACACTGCGTTTTCATTCGCTTCTCTTTTGCCCTTTTGCTTCTTTCTCTTTTTCTTTACGTTTGTCTCTTTCTCTCTCCCCTTCCCCCTCTCACTCTCTCTCTCTCTCTCTCTCTCTCTCTCTCTGTTGCGTTCGATCTCCTCGTTCGTTAGATATCGTCCCGTCCGATATCAGCCCGTTGTCGCGAGGAGAGCAAGAAGATACACGGCGCCTCCACGGGGCCCGATAGCGCGGGCCCCCCTACATCCTTACGACGATGTCTTTCGCGAGCCTCGGCGTAGAAAAATAGCGATCACCGGTTCACAATCCCACGGTGTGCTGGAGCGTCTTATTGATCACCGCTTCGACTAACGCGAATGCCGTTTCTGTGCTCGCACCGCCGGCCATCGTTCCGTTGTACCGCATCCACCGCATCGGCCGTGCCGGTGCACGGTGTCGGAAGCGCGTACCTCCGACGAGTTCTGCTTCTACGATCCTGCTGCGCGCGTTATAGCGCGCTACCACCCCTCGTGCGGCCGCACGTCGGCGACGATCGTTACGAGGCATCGGACCAGCAGCGCGGGGATCGAGTACGTCCCGGTCTTCCAGCGGGACTCCCCGCCGACGATCGACAGCATCGCGCGTGATTTTTTCTCTTCACTTCCTTGACACAATTGCTGCACTATTCCCGCTTGAATGCTCCTTGACGACGAAGGGACTCGGAAAAGACTGCTTGCTCCTTCGCGTCTTTCGTATAATATTCTTCCTCGGTATCTCTTGTCGTTCGAGGTAACGTAGCGGCGGTGACGACGACGACGACGACGACGGCGATGAGGAAAGAAGGCGAGAGTCCCGCCACCGACATCACCGCATCACCGACACATATCCCCGTCCGACCTTGCCTGCACCCTTGGGATCCCGAAATCAAATTTCTCTCTGCAGTTGGATTATCCGCACTTATGCCTTGACGTAAAATTCCCACCACTCTCGAGAAACTCCGCTTCCTTTTTTTTTTTTTTTTACATCGGACAGCTCCGTTTCCAACTTTGCAATTCTCCTCGAACGAAGTTCTTGAACATTAAGAGCGACATTGGCGGCGATTCTCACTTGCGACTGTCATTCTCGTTCCTTCTCTCTGTCGGATTTGTCGTGTGATATCACGTTCACGGGATGAACTCTCGATTGTGACACACGCACTGCTCTGTATTTTTCAGCCTCTCCCGTCACGACGGCACGCAACCTCCACCCTGCTAATCGGACACACGATATGCACCTCGGCACTTGCGGCGCAACGTCACCCCCGGCCGAATAGCAAGTTAACTAACTGAGCGGGGGTGGAGATCCGCCTTGCGTTCTATCTCGCACGGCGACGTCGAAGCCTCGGAAGGAAACGGGACGCACACCCGCAGCGATGGGTGTGAACCCGTGTGCGTGTGCGTTGACCGACGGCGGCGGCAGCCCTGTGACACCACCGTTTCTCTGGAGCCGAAGCGCCTTCAACCCTCGCCACGAAGCGGCGTCAGCGGCGTCAGCAACGCGCCGGCGTCGTCCCGTTGGCGGCAACCCCAGATCTTCGACTTTCGAATCCTCGCATACCGCAACAGCCAAGCTTCATCCACCGTCGAGAATTTCTAGGATATTTTTTGCTAAAAAATAAATAATGTTAAAGAGAAATCTAAACGTTACTCAAGTTGAAGAACAGCGGTGAAGGAAGTATGCCGTTAGAAAAGACAGCATCGTGAGCATTGAGAGGTCCGGTGCAACTAAAATCACCGTTGGTGATATTTATCGTACAACGAAAAACACGAAGAGCGACGGCAGCATTTTATCGGCTGCTTTTGTTGATTACGGCTTCTTTAATGGCCTTTATAAAAAAGTTTCCTTTGGTAAAAGTTAAATGAAAAAGCATTTTTCCGCGTAATCCTTTCAGTCTTAAGGTGGAACTCTGCTGTTGTTCAGTTCCATGACTAGAGATAACTTCAAATTGATTGAACGATCGATCAACGAGCTGGCTACTCTCGTAATTCCCATATTGTATCACTCTTCAAGGTATAAACAGTACAATAGATAAAGTAGATAGAGACAGAACCAACACAAACTGTCACTGCAGAAATTACAGTCGAAGGCACAAGCATAAGAAGTCAAGACGCGGATGTCGTGCATAAGAAAATACGAGTTTTTTACGCACATATATTTGCGTGTCAGGTTTTCCATAGCTGAATTTAATGTCTGATTGAATATACCTAAATATAATGTGTGATAACAATGAAATATTTTCATTCTTTTGTTTTGCAACTGAATTAATTGCAAAATAAAAGATATATGTGAGTAATAAGTGATCAGTAATTTAGACATATGAATAATCCTTCCGTTCCTATTTCTGAAATTTAATACTAAAACGTTACTGATAGAAGCAACACCTTGCTTTTTATTGAATTATTTTTACGTAAATCTTTCGAGAACGAAAACCTTGAAAATCTTTACACATTTATTTAAGAAACTTTAGAGAATTTCTAAGCTGGCCAGCTTTGTCAGAATGAATTGTCGTTAGATATTAAGTCTAATAGGATCCAATACCTATTTATCTTCAGGGAGTCGCGAGATTCTCGCACGTTCCTGCGTGTAGCCGCACGTGCACGGGAAACGCGTGCGAACCAAATGCGGGACAGAGAGAACTGCTAGACCGTAAGATCAATATAGGGGATGTTAGTTCGGCAACTACCTTTTTGCTTTTTCTCTCTCTCTCTCTCTCTCTCTCTCGCTCAGTCATATATGCACATACATCTCCTCTCTCCAGCTTCCGTCTTATGTAATTGCATTATCGTAATATCCTCGTGTGGAATCAACATCGTCTCATTGTCAACGATCTGCAGCAATATTTAACTTCTAGTACAGATTAATGGTAATCTACAGGTGATCGTAAAACAAGTTTGAGCTTAAATTTCACTTAGAGATTTTTAATCTCGCTAGAGCAAAATTGGCGAACCTCGTGTTTCCAGTTTTGATTTAATTATTGATTAGATGATAATTCTACATTTACGTGCACAATCACAAACATTTCAGATTGATGTTTATAAACCGAATAGACAAATTATGTTATACATCAACTTAATTTGTATCTTCATTTCTTATACATTTGTATAATTTTAATTTCACCAAAAATAAATCCCTTTTATTTATATCTATAGTAAACGCATCATGCATATATGCGGAAGAATCAGATGCGCAAGTTGAATTGTTTCAATTATAATAATGCATGTACACATCATGTAAAATTCTATTTGTCTTCCTAACCTACATACACCTTTGAGTCGTGCTATTTGAATATAAAATTTGCCTGACTTCTTTATTGAGTTATACGTACTACTTGAGAAGTAAAAGTATCTGACTTATGTGGATATAAAACATTAGAAATAATCGACTACCTTACAATATGATAACCATCTGATACCAAAGGTTTGTCGGATCGGCCAGTAAATTCTCCTGTTTGAAAATAAAAGACAGTGAGCCTATTACGATTTCGATTTGTCAGTAGAAATGGTGGCGACTCATAGCGGAGCTTTGTGAACTACAAATAGGCAATCCTCTGAGTTCTCCGATCGGCTAGTGCCACCGAGCGGCTTGATAAAGAAACCTATTTCGCATAAATCTGTTTATCGTTCTATCGGTCAATCACCGTATTATTGACGGAAACTAACAAAAGAATCAAATATTTAAAGTGAGCTATGTTCAAAGTATTAATCACCACGATAAGCTCTTGTCACACATACGTTTCCAGATAATGCGTAATTTCTCTCTGTTGTGGCGCAGCCAACGATGCAATTGCTTCCGTATTGCTTTGTGAGACAGTCGAGGATAATTGACACTTGTGTGATACAATTGACGTATTAAACTGATATAGGTATAATATTCATAATGACATAATTTGTGTAAATCATTCTGTTTCTAAATATGCATTAATTCGTACATAGAACGATGTTTTAATATACTCGTAATTAATTATGGTAATAATTCACTAAAATATACCATTTAATGTTCCTTTTTATTTATAGAAAAGATGCTTCTGCATATTATATTTATAATTTCATCCTTCTTTTCTACTGCATTTGGTGTGTTATATTATCAACCAGAAGCTGTGCATCTTTCCTATGGAGGTAAGTTTCATTATTTTCATGGACATTGTCTTATTTTACATATGTAAATAATGTGACTTGTAAGATTTGGAATAAAAAAGTAAAAGCTATAAATTTTTATATTGATATAATTCATATTTTGTATATGATCTTTAGATAACATTCATGATATTGTTGTGACATGGAGTACAAGAGATGATACTGAAGAATCATTAGTAGAGTATGGCATAGGTGGGCTCGTTTCCCAAGCCAAAGGAAATTCTACCCTTTTTACTGATGGCGGACTCAAACAAAAAAGACAATATATTCATAGGGTATGGCTGAAAAATTTAACTGCCGACAGCAAATACAGTAAGATATATATTGTACTGTTTTATTAGTAATTAGCAGTTTTGTGAGTACATGTTGTATTTTCAGCAATAATAAATATCTTACCTTTTATTACCAGTATATCACTGTGGCAGTCGTTATGGATGGTCAAATATATTTTATATGAGAACACCTAAAGATTCTACAGATTGGTCACCACAGATAGTTCTTTTTGGTGATATGGGCAATGAGAATGCACAAAGTTTGTCACGGTTGCAGGAAGAGACAGAACGTGGTTTATATGATGCAGCTATTCATGTTGGTGATTTTGCTTATGACATGCACACGGACGACGCACGTGTAGGTGATGAGTTTATGCGACAAATTGAATCTATTGCTGCTTATATACCATACATGACTGTGCCTGGTAATCATGAAGAGAAATATAACTTTAGCAATTATAGGTCTGTTTGAATAATACCAACTAATATCACTTGTTAAAGGTTTAATATTAATAATTAATAATTTCTTTTAGAGCACGATTTACAATGCCTGGTGATTCAGAAGGTTTATGGTATAGTTTTAATGTAGGTCCTGTACATTTTGTAGCTATAGAAACTGAAGCTTATTATTTTATGAATTATGGTATAAAACAATTGATTAAACAATATGAATGGTTGGATAAGGATCTACAGGAAGCAAATAAACCCGAAGCAAGGTATATTATTAAATAAATCTTAGTAAGATGAAAAATTGATAGAGTATGTATATATATATTGTTGCGCTCACTCTCACACTCGCGCTTTCACACAGGTAAATAAGAACACTCGCGTAAGAATATCAAGCTTTACTATATACAGCGCAACTTTCTCAAACTTCAAACAAGAATAATTCTCTATTTTAATAATTCTGAATTCTATCGTCTGTCTACGATGACAGCTTGCCGGAGACTCTCTGTCAGCTGTTCTTGTTGTTTACTTCTTATCGATTTTCCGTCGTCAGGACAATCCTCGCTCAGATGGCAAAATCAGCATCGGATGCCTAAGGCTCACGGATAACGGACGCTGCCACAAACCTTGTGGCTCGGATACAACAATATATATATATATATATATATTTACGATTGTAGGTATCAGCGGCCATGGATAGTAACATTTGGGCACAGGCCAATGTATTGCAGTAACGCAAATGCAGATGATTGCACTAATCACCAAAGTTTAGTTAGAATTGGATTACCATTTCTTAATTGGTTTGGGTTGGAAGATTTGTTTTTCAAGCATAAAGTAGATTTAGAGATATGGGCGCATGAACATAGTTATGAAAGAATGTGGCCCATGTATAACTTTCAAGTAATTATCTTTTCTATCATGTTATTCCTTTTACGGAAAATTCGTATATTAATAATAAAAGATATAATCACAGGTGTACAACGGTAGTTATGAAGAGCCATATAAAAATTACAAAGCACCAGTGCATATAGTTACTGGATCAGCTGGTTGCAAAGAAGGTCGAGAGAAATTTGTCCCAAAACGACCAGAATGGTCTGCATATCGTAGCTCAGACTACGGATATACAAGAATGAAAATCCTCAATAAAACTCATCTATATTTAGAACAGGTATGGTATATTATAATACGATCTCAAAAGTGTAATGTCTTTGATTTGATCTCCAGGTTGATACCGCATTCATCTTGGGTTTGTTTCGTGAACATTCCACTTTACTTTCTCAAGTAGAGGAACTGTCTGAAACTAATGTTTCGAGAAATTTCAGGAAGTAAACTGGGTGTTCACGAAACATCGGGTATAAATCCAAGATAAACATGGCATTCTCCGATCCAAAAATCAAATAAAATATCCCTTTGTAACGCAAAATTCTAAAAAGTCGTATCTTGTATATTCTAAGAAATAGTAAAAATCATTTAATTTTATTGTATTATAGGTATCTGATGATAAAGAAGGTGCTGTCTTGGACAGAATTTGGCTGGTGAAAGAAAAGCCTTGGCCACTTTATGCGAACATTTCTACAAAATAACATAATAAAAATTTAGTTTAATTTGATGAATGCTATGCAATAAAACAGAACAATAAACACATGAAAAATATATTACACACATAAAATGTGTGTAGTATTAAAGTTAGTAATTATAAAGTTACTCATTACTTTCATTTATGTATTATATGAATATGAATCCACACACGCATACACACATACACGCGCGCTGTTACGTTCCTAACGTATCTCTGTATCTTTCCAGCCTTAGTCTGTTTACCTATGTCTCGAACATTTCTATCCCTCTTCAAATGTTGCTTTATGACCATACCTACTTTTATGACCCATCCCTTTTTTTTTTTTGGTAGTAGTTTCCCTCTAAACTTCTCACGAAACCGTTCGTCAGTCTCCAGTTGTTTTCCTTCCCGTAAGGAACACCTCCCGTTCCTCTCGTAGCGTATACTTAAATACATATATTCGAATAAACTCGCCTTTCTATAAAAACGGTATCTCTCCCCTATTCACGAAGAAATTATTATAATCATTACGTTTCGAACGTAACGTCGGAATGTAACAGCGTGCATATGCGCACACACGCACGCATGCACACACACATACACACACACACACACAGTACACATTTTGTTAAATATGTAGCTGCGTATGTCGCAGTTGAAATATATGCATGAAATATATGAACAGTAAAATAACAGTGTAATTTATGTATGAGCGAATAAAAAATTAGTAAATGCAAGACGCGTACAATATAATCGTTTAATTGTTAAAATATAAATATAAATAAATATATATATATATACACATACATATATACATTTGTATGTCTATATAATTATAGTATATATATATATATATATATATATGTCTGTCTGTGTGTGTGTATGTGTGTATGAATATGTGTATGTGTGTATATATACACACATGCACACATATATTTAGTATTAGTGTATATAAGATTTCATATTTCCATCTAATTCACAATTATTACTATTCATCAATGATACATAAAGATACATAACGAATAGCTTGATTTCATTAGGAAAACGGATGCTTCGGTTAAAAATTTGTTATAATTAGAAATGTGTGAGTTTCTTCAGTTTAACATATATCATATCACGTATTTTATTTGACTTCGGATAAAACTTACTCGAACCGCGCTCATAATTGCGATCAACATATTTTCAACCTACAAATTTCTTAAATGTATTCCTGCACATTTTCTAGCTCTAAATCACCGAGATTTTGTAAACGTGCATGGAACAGTTTACCTAAATGATATAGATTGTGTGACTAGTTTCGATAGATTTAAAAATAGGGTAATTAAACTGACTGTATAATTATTTTATATTTTCGTATTCGCATTCAAGTGTAACAATATACTCGCATCAAAGAATGATTATACACTAAGCACTTTAATCACAATTATGCACAAATCATTTTGCAACGTTAACATTACTAGCTGGCAACAATCCCGCTTTGATGATGAATCAACGAAATATTCACGCACAATATTGTATTTCGTTATCACCATTAAAGAACTATTCCAATAGGTACCTTTTCGAAGAAAATCCTTATAAAGTAGGCGGAAAATATTTCAAGCCATGAGCTTCTTTTAAACAATCCCTATCCTTTCAAATAATCCCAAAAATAGTCAAACATTTGCTTCGACAAATATGCCGAACTCGATACAATTCATATATTATGCTAGTGTCTCGAATACTCGCACATCTCCAATTATTGCCAGTCATAATATCTTTATAAGGCTAAAAAAGTGATCTCTCGAATTTATACATTCAATTAAAGCTGATCTCCTACAATTCTACTTTTTCACAATGGATAAACCATTTTTTTTTTATTTTTCTCTCCTTATTGACATTTTGCCATTTTTAATTTTCTACTTTGGCATCTGCCGTAAGTCATCTACCGGATTAAAAAGGATCAGGAACTGCCCCTCCATAAATGAGATAATAAACAATGACAGCGAGCCTGGAAAGTGTCAAGCGATGACTCTGTTAAACACAAGATTATACTTATGGTTACTACGCGTTCCTTGAAGACGAGAAAATTGTTCAATATTCACAATACGTGTCTCAAGGAGTTTTAGTTAACTTGATTCAATTGAGAACGTAATTTAATCCCTGTCATAATTCTTCGAGCTTATGCAGCAAGTATTAATCGTACTATATCGTATTATATCGATGTAATCTTACAGTATACATTTTGCCATATACAACTTTAATGAATAGTTATGTGTATAGGTGTTATATGCGCGCGCACATTCGTACGCATAAATCTAATTCGCCGTTGGAGATATGTGTGACGATCTCATAGGATGCATAAAAAAAGCATCGTAAAGAATGGTAATTTGATTGATCTGTCTATTGGGAAAGCTTTAAGCTTCGCAGACAATCGTCAGATACAGTTGTGATCAGATGTTTCTGCTTGAGATTTTTCATGCATTAAACCACACATCTTGTTATATTAATTAATCAAGACACTTGACACTGTCAGTGATTAATAGAAACAATGGAAGAAGTTGCTGCAGAGTGACTGTCTTGGTATGAAAACTGGGGGAAATGTTCTTGCTCTTCTGCTATAGAATTCAGACCCCCTCCACTACCTAAACAGCCTTGATCTGGAGGTGTAAGTTCAACACTTTCGCCGGTAAATTCACTATCAAAATATCGAGTGTCAGTATCTGAAGTCACTTGTGGCTTGAAAGGAGGGGGAATCTTCTTCTGAACAAGGTCTGCCCAATTGATACACGAGAAGAATGCATGGTTCATGATGTCCTTCGCGTCGTTGGGTCCACCACCTAATCTTCTACTTGGGTCTTTTATTAACAAACCTGCATAGAAATAATATATAATAAAGTCTTTCGACATTAGAACACGATGATCATGATCCTTATTAGTAATCTCTACTCACCACCGAGCATGTCTCTTGCTTCGTTGCTAATCGTCCTAGGAAACCTTACTTCTTCCAATAAAATAAGCGTAAATAGCTTTTCGTGATCTCTGTTATAAAAAGGTAATCGACCACACATCATTTCATACATGACTACACCAACACCCCACCAATCTACAGCTCGCCCATAATCGTTATCTTCTAGTACTTCTGGTGCCAAATATTCCGGCGTTCCACAAAAGGTCTTTGTCGTTCTTCCTATATATATATATATATACACATATATATATATATATGCAATTGCATTACGATTTATTCAACATTTCATCAATTTCACTTCATCATCTTTCGGCTTAACAAGTGATACGAACCGTATGTAATGTCTTCTTTACATAAGCCAAAATCAGCAATTTTTATATGTCCATCCTTATCCAAAAGGAGATTCTCCAATTTAAGGTCACGGTATATAATGCCTTGAGAGTGCAAATAACCAAGGGCCGATATAATTTCTGCGCCGTAAAATCTAGTACGGTCTTCACCAAATACTCGCGATCGACTCAAGTGGAAAAATAACTCGCCACCATTTACATATTCCATAACAAAACATAGCCTATCTGCTGTTTGGAAACTATATTTCAACGACTGGAAATTTATAAAAAAATTAATATCACAAGAATGGTATAATATATAAATATTCCATCGTAATATAAGAGTAATGGATTTTGTACTTATGTATATATAACATTGAGTCACAAAATATTTTATAAGAATATTCACTTATTTAACATATATATACAATCAACATACAATTAAAAAAGGATGACTTGTAGTACGTAATACTCTATTTTCAGTAAGTGTGTGCGCCACTTCATCCTTACGAATAATAACTTCTTTTCTTAAGATTTTGATAGCGTATAAATGCCCTGTCGCCTTTTCTCTACATAGAATTACCTTTCCAAATGTACCTTTTCCCAAAACTTTTAAAAATTCGAAATTTTCAAGTGTCTGAAACATATACATTCAGAGGATTCATAAGAAGGAAATCAGTTTTGAAGATTATCTAAAACACACGTGTGCGGGCACGCATACAACTTAGCAATGCATACTCAATGATATTGGGTTTCCTTAGGAAAGATTAGATAAGATTAGTTACAAAGATAAGTAATGTAACTTACTACTTTCTTTTTACCAGTACTTTTACTACTTGAAGTTCCTTGTACACTGAATTTTGCTGATAATTCATCAATACTACCACCATCTGCATCTGCAGATACAACACCTAAAGAAGTACAGGAATCGGATCTAGCACCTATTGACGATTCCATATCAACATCCTCCGAAGAGGAAGATTGTTGCATTTGTGGTTGTTCTTGTTGCTGATGCTCTACATTGGCTAATCTATCAGCTACATATCTGTAGAAAAAAAAAATGGAAATGTTAAGACATTTCTCAATATTAAGAAGAAATTCCATAGGTAAAAACAAACCTGATTGCTGCTACCCAGTCTTCTCTTTCTTGCTCAGTTTCCACATGAAATGTCCTCTCGATTACTGTTGTCCACTGCAGGCCTCTGATAACAAATGTATAGGGCTTAGGTCTGTCCACTGACATTATTTGGCACCCACGCACTGTAAAGTTATTTAACGGCTGCGCAGATGTAGCCATTTGTTGATCGGGTTTTGCCTTGAATCCAACCAGAGTACCATCGTCTCTCAAGACAAAGTATCTTGATCTCCAATTTTTAATGTGCTCACCTACAAATAAATTATTCAATGTACAAAAGTTAAATTTCCCTTTTTATCTTGACAGCTTAGACATTTTGTTCTAGTGATTATTTCTTAGTCGTAGTCGTAGTCTCGTATAAAATATTTTAATATTTAAGAATATATAATAAAAAGATACGACTGGACAAGAGTGTTAACATTTAAGAGAAGAATTGATTACATTCCCATGCTACATTCCAAAGCGTATATTTCATCCATGGTGCGTCAGAAAATGCGCATCGCGATCGCATGAAGTAACATAACATAAAAGCATACAAACAGACAGTTTGTACGAAAATATCGTCGCAAACGCGAATATGCGAGACTCGGGTCGGCCCGTGAATTTTTGTCCGTGCCTCTCATGGGGACAAGCATACACGTGATAACCGATATCTACAAGGTACAAACGTGCTCCGCACATTTGAGGTTCGGTATTGCTTTTTGTAGATACCGTGTCGACGAAGATTACTCGAAGAAGCATGCGTTCGTGACACTAGTGCCGCGTGACCATACGCTCGCGAAACAATGCGAAGAGGAACGTATGATAGTCGGGAACGTGGCGACGAGCATAACATAAATATTATGAATCGTGCGATAACATAAATATTATGAAGACATCGTTGGCAATACCGCGTTTTTGAAGCCAGCCCTCTTTGACGATACGTTGACCGCTGCCGCCGCTGCCGCCGCCGCCGCCGCTGCCGCCGCCGCTGCCGCCGCCGCCGGCGCCGCCGCCACCGGACGCTGCGACGTTCATCGCTGCGTCCCCCATCGCTTGAACACTGATGCGCACTTGTCGATATTCCGCCAATACTCCAAATTACGTTCTCTCCTGGAAATTCCACAAAATGCGCGAACACGCAGTAGCGGGAGTGGTACGCGTATACAAACTTGAGTAATCATAGATACGCGTGCGGCAGGTAATGCATATGTACACAGTGATCGTCGACGTGATAGCGTTGAACCGAGAGAGACGTCAGTTGCGGCGCAACTGTCGCTCGGCCCGAAACTTACTTCATAGAGGTGCGTTCTGGCCCGATAAATGATGTTCACACGCGTCTGATAATTCAATGTCGGTGTGGTGTGTGATTGTGTGTACTACGCCATATCGATGTCCAATAGGAGGGCTCATTTCCTAGGGTCTACAGTGACATTTTTGTCTCTAGAATTGCCCATATTGCCTATTCTCTCGTTTTTCTACACGGTTTCGTGCACATCTTTAACCCACGTTTCAGCCATCTGCGAATATTTTGTCTGTGACAGTTAGACAGCAGAATAAGTGAAAATGGCGGTCACCATGGACTCTGTAAGGGAAAAAGCCCTTCAAGATTTCCGGAAAAAGCTCTTGGAACACAAGGAAGTAGAGTCACGTCTTAAAGAAAGTAAGACACGTTTGTCAAAATTGTAAAATCTACTTGAATAAATGTATTTATAAGAATCAGAGATTTCTAACCTCATATTGCACATTCTATTGTCTCTATTCTTGTATTAGATTTGTCTTTGTACTCGAACTGGCTGCACTACCTGCCACACTGGTTCTCGTTTTTTCGACAAATCACAATTATATACCTGTTCTCCTTCTAAGCTTCGAAAGTGTACACTAGTTCAGTAACAAAGGGCAGGTCTACAAACTTCCCTTGACTATATTTATGTGTTTAGATACATCCCTTTTATAATACTGATATGTTTATCTATTTTTGCTATATGTTATATTTGAAATTATCAATATATTGGGATAACATAGCGTGTGATTTCCTTTTTTTTAGTGAGAGAACATCTTAAAGATTTGACTAAGCAATATGACAAATCTGAAAATGATTTGAAAGCGCTACAAAGTGTTGGACAGGTATGTTGATTTTTGTTTCGATTAGAGTTTTACAATTAATTAAATATTATCTACTTCACAATTATCTATCTCTTAATGTTATAGATTGTTGGAGAGGTACTGAAACAACTTACAGAAGAAAAGTGTAAGTATATTGAACCTGTATGAGTTATGATATCTATATATCCTTATGATATATATGAAATGAAGAATATACACAGAGGAGGGAATAATTGTTTGTGTATAATTGTTTTAAGTTATTGTGAAAGCAACCAATGGTCCGCGCTATGTTGTTGGCTGTCGACGTCAATTGGATAAAAATAAGTTAAAATCTGGAACCAGAGTTGCTTTAGACATGACAACTCTTACAATTATGCGTTATTTACCACGTGAAGTAAGGAAGTTTCCTAATTTTATATATAAGTGGAATAATCAATTTCTAAGTCTTAAATGCCATAAACCTCATCCTTGTTGCTTTTTACTAGGTTGATCCATTAGTTTACAATATGTCTCACGAGGATCCTGGTGATGTTACATATTCTGCAATTGGTGGTTTAAGTGAACAGATACGTGAGCTGCGTGAAGTTATAGAATTGCCATTATTAAATCCTGAACTTTTCCAAAGAGTTGGCATCACTCCTCCAAAGGGATGTTTGTTATATGGTCCCCCAGGTACTGGGAAGACATTACTGGCTAGGGCTGTCGCCAGTCAGTTAGATGCAAATTTCTTAAAAGTTGTCTCAAGTGCAATTGTTGATAAATATATCGGCGAATCTGCTAGATTGATTAGAGAAATGTTCAATTATGCCCGTGATCATCAACCGTGCATTATATTCATGGATGAAATTGATGCTATTGGTGAGTATATAATATTTGTATAGCAAACAATTATAAATTTCTATCATCACATCAATATGAGTTGTATCAATATCCGTATTCGCGTGCAGGCGGCCGCAGATTTTCGGAAGGAACTAGTGCTGATCGAGAAATCCAGAGAACCTTGATGGAATTGTTAAATCAGATGGATGGATTTGATTCTTTGGGTCAAGTCAAAATGATAATGGCGACAAATAGACCTGACACTTTAGATCCCGCATTATTACGGCCTGGAAGACTAGACAGAAAAATCGAGATACCTTTACCAAACGAACAAGCGCGTTTGGAAATATTGAAGATACATGCTTTGCCGATAGCTAAACATGGTGAAATCGGTAAGATATTTTTGTCTTGTACATATCTGACGTATATGAATATTATATTAATAATATTCCTCATTAAATGTGTAACACAGATTATGAGGCAGTAGTTAAACTTTCGGATGGATTTAATGGAGCCGACTTGAGAAATGTATGCACAGAGGCAGGATTATTTGCCATAAGATTAGAAAGAGAGTATGTAATCCAGGAAGATTTTATGAAAGCTGTCAGAAAAGTTTCCGACAACAAAAAACTAGAATCTAAATTAGACTATAAGCCTGTGTAATCTGCAATTCACTATTTTATATTTCACACAAGTGACACATATATTAAATATATTAATTTCTGTGTGATCCATCTTGTACCACACAAGTATGAAGATCAACAAACATGTATAATACAATAAATATTGGCACAGTCTAGCAACTTTAACTTGAAATATACATATTTGTAATGATTGAGAGATAAGTTTCAGTTATCATGAATGTTTATTTACATATTTTATAAAATATGTGTTAATTACAATTGCTGTGTTTTATGTATATTTCTAAAAATGATATTACAATGTTTACAATGTATTACTTGTCGCAAGACGAATTTTTTTCCTCTCTAAATATTCCTGTACATTGTCATATTTTCTTTTATATAAAATAGGGAAGAAATTCTGCTTAACAGTAATATCTTTTAAAGTTTCCCAGGACTTATTGAGATGTTTCACTGCGCAATTTAAAGTATCATGAACAACAAATTTATTATCTTGAAATTTGTATACTCGAAATCCTACATCTGTTAATAGCCACAAGTTTTTTTTATGTAAACAACAGTCCACTGGTTCAAGTTCCACAGATAAGGATTCCAAATAATTAGCTACCAGTTGTGATTTTTGATCATTAGTAATACTATAAATTAATAATATTTCACTATTATAAAAACTTATTACGACCAAAGATTCCATTTCATGAAAATGAGACACTCTCATATGTTTGACAGGCAATACATCTACACATTCATCATAATAATTGTCACGAAGATGTTGATTAAATTTATCAATCGTACATTTTGATATTTTATCACAGAAATTTACAGACATCAATTCAGTCCCGTGCTTATAGTCCCATAATTTTAAATTGCCATCACCACCACATGATATTAAGATGCTTTTATCATGAGGTAATTCTGAGATATTTGTCACAAATTTGGCATGTCCCAAACAGTAAGATAGAATATTGTAACAGTTAGGAAACATGGAAACTCTAATTTTCTCATCTCTATCGGTCGTTAAAATATACTTCATATCTTGTGTGACAAGTACATCAAGGAGCATTGACAAATGCCCTAAAATCAAAGTACCATTTCCCATCGGAGAGCTAGTAGAGAATAAATAAGCATCACCGGCCTTGTCAGCAACCACGATATCGTTGTTTGGAGAAAACCTCATCTTGCTTGCAGCTCTGACAAGTGTACGATTAGACAGAAGCTTCGTGTTCTTTGTTTCATACAGGCATAGCTGCTTGCGATTTGCGCATATTGCAAAATATTTTCCATCCTCCGAGAATGTTACGGATGTTACCATATGATAACTCTCGATATCCACATTGTTGTGTACGTCAACCTTGCTGTTCGACTCCAAACCGGGCAAGATTATAATGTTTTCAATATCATTCTCGATATCGTAGATTATCACACGCTCGTTATTGCATACAGCAACGTATGACTCATATACAGAAAAGCTCATGATCGTGTAAAAATTGTAAAAATTTTAACTTTTAAAACAAAAGTCAAGTTGACATCGACCATACGACGCATGTGTGTGACACGAAGATCTGTTCTTTTTAACTGAACTAGATTGCACTTTTTGCTCTTAGAGTGAAAGAAGTATATAAATCTGTGTTGAAGAAAAAAGGGACGGAGTTGTTTTATTATTTGGGCTACGTCCCGATATTCACTACCAGTACTGCAAATATATTATTTGTGTCACATATACCAGCAGCTGGATTCTGTAACTCATTACTGGAGTTAACGATAACGAAAGTGTCATTAACTCCAATAACGAGTTACAGAATCGCGGTACAGGGGCTGTATTCCGTACCTGCATATCGACAACAATCTACCCTCACACTTCGGATTGGCAGCTAATTACCGGACACTTCGTATGATCTTCATGACATTAATCATACACAATGTCAATTCTCTTTTTTTTGCACATGTTAATTGATGTTATAAACATAAGCGTAACAATGTGCGAGACCGTGCTTGTCAAGAACGCTATTATGGTTGTAGCACGGACATAAACCGCCTGAAAATGGATGTAGCACGGATTGCCAGTACATGCAGATTTTATCGCCGAAACCTGAAAGTGGATGTAGCATTGTAGTTCCCCTCTCGGATGCAGATGGCGCCCATTTCCAGTGCGAAAAATCGGTGTTGCCGAAAACGCCGTATTGGCCGCTCTCAGCTTCCTCTCTGCTATAATCTAGAACGTTCTAGAAACGACGATCACTTGGCCTGTGGTTACGTCAGAACTTCTAGATTATTCTGGAATCTAGACATTCTAGAATCTCCGTCGTTGGCCGACGGTACAACATCGTTGACCGGCTCGGTCGCCTCGCGCCGGCGCTGCTGCCCCGCGGCCTCACTAGCTTCGCTACCCTGGGTGCAGCGTCGTCGTCGGTCGCCGCTGCCTTTGTGCACGTTTGTACAGAGGGCGCCTCACATTGGGCTCGGCTAATCGCGGCCCGTGACCTCTCTCCTTCTTCTCTCTGCTATAGATTTTCAGCACTGGCAGCCAATATCGGAACGCAGCTTTGAGCAAACTTGTCTAATGATTCGAGTCTTGGTTAAATGTGAATTGAGTCTCGATTAGATATAAGATGAGGATATTAGATGATATTAGATGAGAATTGATAAAATATGAATCTTCGCTAAAGTTTATAGAAACTAGTAAATTGTGATTCGAGTCTTAGCTAAGTGTTATGCTGACTTTCGAGTAATATTTGTTATATGATATATGTGTACCAGTATACTTGATTATTTACTTTATGATTTGGGTATCTGAATTATAAGAATTTAAGAAATGCTAGCAGAACCGATTTTTTTTACTAGCGCAGTAAACAGTGTTTGATTGCTGCGAAATAATCGTACGTTGCCGGTCAACGCTTGCTAATTCAGTCAGTCAAAAAATAGCGAGAGTTATTTATTAATTTACCAATTATCAATGGAAAGTTGGACAGATTTCTGCAGCAGATCGCTAGTCGACAAGATAGTTCATTATCTTACTGAGTGCACATATGAGAATTTCACAGCTTTTAAAGTAAACAATAGAAATTTAGCAGTAAATGGAGAATTCTATTTTATCAATAACTTCAATGCGTGGAAAAGATTTGTTCTCTGTGATAGAAATTGTGCCACTATTTTGCAACATTTCACGCACATACATGATACGAGAGGAAATAACACAGACGCAAATGTGTCCAAGGAAGTAAATAAACGTTTTTAACCTAACCTAACCTAATTTTAAACATGACAATTATAATTATATATATATATATATATAGCTGTTGTTTTGATAAAAAAATTATTAGATTGTAGACTTTTCGGATTTTTACAGGTTTTTGAACAGTTATTATCTAAGAGTGGCGACTGGCCCATAAGAATACAACGATGCTCATTGCAGAAGGAAAAGATTTGTGTGTATCTGAATCGCATGGATGTTATTCCAAACATCATTAAGACAGCTATTAGCTGCGATAATACATTTGGAAGAATTATTGCGAATGATAAAGTATTTAATTTAAGATATCAATCTGATACAAAATCCGACCTCACTACTCAGAGACTACGTCTAATCAGAAGTATTATAGCTAAAGTAATGGATCTACATGGATATAGGTAGCGCTGTGCTATATTTGAATTTGTTTTCAAAATTTTTTCAAATAGTATTATATAAACAGTTGGGTTGTTCCATTCTTTGTATATCCAAACTTGTTTAACGAAATATATTATAAAATTCAGGATATCAGATGAAGACTGTAATGACAAATATATATTTACGTCGAGATCAAAAGGATCAATTGAGGATGGATATGAAAGATATGTTTGCGGTGTTGTCAAAAATATACAGTCAAATACAAAGGAAATACATGCCACATGGGAACAATGCATAAAAGACAGAATGGATTACCTGAATAATAATTACCACTATATGTTTAATTGCGAGGAGAATGAAGACAACGTAGAGAAATATCTCATTCTGTGCGATATGGCCCATGCTATTATAATCTTCGACTTAATATCTGTAGCACCTAGACAACCAGTTGTTATAGAGTATAACATTTGTAAATCTAGCACATATATTAGAAATACAAAAGGTATGTTTCATTAGTAAATTTTATTATATATTTTTTATTTCTTGTAGCCTGCATTTTAGAATTACTTATTTGTTAAGTTATAAATAATGTTTCTTTTTGTTTCTTTTATTTGTAGTTCTAATCTGATTACAAAAATTTGTATCCTAGAGTCCATATTTAGATACTGTATCAATATCGTAGGTGCATCGTTTGTATTGTATAACACTGCCAGAATAGCAAGGATTATAGCAAAGTACAATATGATGGTTTTATGCGGAGAGTTCCCTCCGTTACCGAATATCGACGATGTGGATTTTTCGCAATTACAACAAGAGGTTGAAAAATTTTTCTAAATTACCAAAAATAACGTTATCATTCAAATTTTGAAAAATTGTATGTAAGGTATGAACCTTATGACAGTATTTAATCTGTTTTTAGGAAGAATGGGAACTCATATATAACTTTATTTTTGGATATCCCCAAATGCTACAAAACTGCTTAAGATACAAGCCGAATTTTCAGATTTACCCGCAAGTAATCTGCACTTTCTTGTCAGAACTGTGTCAGAAATTCAGCTCATATTATGGAAAAACCAAAATTCTGATGGTAAGAGAGAACATCCACTTTCTAGTGATTACAATATTAGCTTAAGACTTAGAATTTATTTACTGTTTTCCTTCATCATCTTTTTTGTGCATTGTATATGTATTATATGTGTTCACTAGTCTTTCTCTCTCTCTCTCTTTTATCTATTATACTGTATCTTTTTAATACGAACTATAGGGAGGAAGTGTCCATCTGGCTCCAAAAATGTTTGCAAGATTATACATGTTGCAAGCGCTGCAAGTTGTCCTGAGCAATGCTTTGAGTATTTTGGATATTAAACCAGTATCTCAAATGTAAAATGATGTTATGGATAAAAAGGTTTTAATTATTTAAACAAAAATCTTTGTTAAACAAATGTGTACAATTTTTCATAAAACCTCGGTTGACAGATCCTCTAGCGCCATCGAGTGATGTGAACTGAAGGCTTGTTAGAAGGGTTTGAGTCTTGACTAAGTAAATTCGAGTCTTTACTAAAAGACCCTCTATATATTTTAATCCAGTTATGAAAACCCTTTATATTAGTTCCAAAGTTATCCGCTACGAGTCGCCATTATTTTGTCACTTGAAATCGAAATCACAGCAGCCAAACGCAGGCGAATTTTTGTCTTTGAATAGAACAACTCGATGCTGGGCCCGGAAAACTTTGATATTGGATGTCTGCGAAAATATTACAAGTAATTAATTATTGCCAATGTTTCATATAATCTGTTGTAACTTCCTAATCGTAATGGGGATATTAGTGAAGTTTGCGTTTAAATAAGTGAGCTGATAACAATTGCTTTTCTGGGAGGTTGCAACAACAGGAGATATCGGTTAAATAATACACAAATCTAACTTTATTCACATTTTTTGCCGTTTTTTTCCCGCTGAATCATTGAGGAAATGATCTGTAGAGAACAGAAACCTCTGCGATACGAATAGCAGTTACAAGTAAATATGTACAATAATATATAATTAGTGGTGGTTGCCCCTTTTCTTCCTTTTTAACCGTCGTCTTGCCTTGCTGAATGATAGCGATCAACCAATCAATATTAACCAGTAATAAATTGCAAGGATCGATAGGTCCTTTCTCACGTATTATTTTGATCCAAGCGTACACCACTATCAATCATCGAATATCGCGACAATGTTGACGAATTGACAGAAATACTTCCTCAATCTTTCACAAACGAATCACACCGAACTTTCGTTATCTCGGAATCATCACTCACAATTTACACAATCGACTGCAATCGCATAATAAGATGTCGACAACATTTGTTTCAAGATTCCCGTCAGCAATTTCACTTACGCCGACTTCGAAATAATAATCGCAAGAAGGCGCAAATTTTGCATCGTTCTTTTAATATTTAATCCTAAATTACGAACCATTAAAGCCTCTTTCGGACCGTTATTTTCTCGAGAGAAATGCAAATGACTCAGTAATGGTTGCCGATTTAGGATTAAAAAGAATTTATTTTATCTTCTAACACCATCATTTCCTCTTAATCTGCTTGTAATGTCGCGCTCGATAATTTTATTTCTTTTCGCCTGATTTAACTTTATGTTTAATCATCCTTTCGTTTTATCTCGAAATTCTCACACTATACCTTCTCTCACTCGCAAGTTTTATCTGCGCTTCAAATCATCCGTCTACACATTCACGTTAATTTAAACCAGTGCTCGTAATTAGTTAAACATTGGAAATAATTTTTTCACATCACGCTTACTGTTTTAAATGTTTTCCAAGTGTGGATCCACACATATTTGTGTTACTAAGCGCGAATGACACGGGGAGGGTAGACGTGACATTCGATAATCGCTTCGAAAACGCAGTTCCGAGCATTGCTTTAAATATTACATTATAATATTACATTTATTTGTTTATTTTCACCTTTCTCTCTCTCTCTCTCTCTCTCTCTCTCTCTCTCTCTCTATTATTTTTTTTCTTTCTTTTTTTCTCGATGCCTTGATTATGACATAGGGTGAAATGTATTGTACACGAATATATATATATATATACATACATACATACATACATACATACATACATACATATATATATATCAAGTGTTGGAGAATATTTCTTGTGGTTTTACGTTGGTTAGATTAAATAAGGTTTAATTTGAATTTGAATTAAAACAGCATCAGTAGAGTGATGGTAGCTACATGAACCCATTGTATATACAATCAAAGGGATTTAGTTTTATTTATAAATGTCTACACACATCCTATGAAGTTTAATATCTCAATTATTACGTGATAAGTTTATTGGACGTAACACTCTCTCTTTTCAGAATATTAAAAATTCTTTATCTGATAGCCCGTAAGGCACGTCCGACAAACTTGTATGATAAATGAATCCAAAAAAACTTTGATCCAAAACAGTTCACTTCACCCTATTTCGAACAACCGATGAAAACATGTTCCGATACCGAAAACTTAAAATTTTTGAGATGTACAAGGACTCGATACAATTAGAGACCCTCCAGCCAAAGTCTGGACATTTTCGATATTTTACTGACTGTTCTACTTCCGTATTTTAATCTGAAATTTCATATTACACCATAGACCAGTTCGGAATACATTATATTCGGTCTCTAATCTATTAACGTTCAGATTAGTGTTTGAAATTTTCAGACAAACAGTTGGAACAGTTCGATTGAACATGATTTATTAAAATCTCTGCCCGAGACTCAGTCTAGATTGTGACTGCAGGATCTCTAGATACAAGATTATTTGACGCTATTAAACTGCCATTAATTCGGGCTAAGAAAAATAATCAATGATTATACAATTAGTCCAAACCACGTTTACTCCACTTCATCGTATCTATTACACAGGTTCGTCTGTTTTGCTTTTTTCTTGTTTTCGATTTTGCCTTGTTGCTAGCTTACTTATTAAGATGATTTGACATTCCGACGCGATTACTTTATTTTCTTCTTGTTCGCATCACATTTATTAACAATAGTCACCCGACGACTTTTGTGCGCAACCGTGAGATCCTTAGATCCTCGAAGTCTCTGAAACTACCCCAGCTTACACCCTCCAAATCCATAGTCTTGGATTATTAATTTCTCGTATTAGTCTCTGAATCCCTGAGTCCTGGAAATTCCCGTTTTTTTATTCTTTTCTACTCTTCACGACTCTTTGATCCTTTCGAGCTAATTTCTAAATCTCCGTATTCTGAAACCGCTTTATCTTCCTACTCTAAATTCCTACTCTTAGATCCTTGATCTTTCCAGGCTAGTCCCTACAGATTCCTAAGTCCTGAGTTCACCTCATTTTCTCATTTTAAATCTATACTCTTGGATCTTCGATTACTTTTTAGATTAGCTCTTGAATCCTTATGTCATGAAATATTTCCATCTTTCGATTTTAACATTGTCCCTATCTTGGATCTTGAAGATCTTTCGATTCTTCATTCTTCGCACTTTTTCTTGGATCTTTGGATACTGAGACATCCCTATTTCCCTGGAATAAATCCACAGCTCATGAATCCTTGAACATTCTTTGATTTTCAAATCTTTCTGGACTTTCTGTGCTTTCTTGAATTATTAGTGCTTTCAATTGTTACATCACGAAACCTTTGGATCTAAGTTATCGAACTTTCAAACTGATAGATCCTAAAGTCTCTGGGTTCTCTAACCCTCGACGAAAGAATACAGGGTTTTTGATGAAACCAGAACTTCGCGATTGTAAGGCGAGGAAATGGTTATCATTTCTTTTTTTTTCTTTTTGCGCACAAACGTGACTCTTCTATATTTCTTCGCCTCTGAAATGTTTTCTTTTCCGCTAGAGGTCCTCGGAAATTCTTTGATCATCAATACCCAAGGACTTCTGGATCCTTGGAGCCAGAAGTTACTGACGCAAAAGTCGACGGGACTTCGCAACGACTCCCAGTATCAAATCTCTCGCTTAGCGAGGACATTCTTCATCATTATTATCACTTCTCTCTTCGTTTATCACGCTCTATTATTATCATCGTTCTCCTATACTCCTAAAACTCTTCTCCTTTTTCTCCTTTTTCCGTACTTATTTTCTTATTCTCTGTCTTTCCTTTCACATACTTAATCATTTTGTTCGTTATTCTTTATAATTCTCCTCTCCCCTCGTTGTATTTTTATTCTTTATCAGTATCTGTTTTTATTCTGGCCGCGAGAATTATCCTCTCGCAATCTTGTTTTTAATGTGTCGCAATTCCCGAAGAGCGTGAGAAAAGGCGAAGGAGAGAAGAAGGTGAGAGGGAGTCTCGTGTTTTCATGCAGGATTCGCGTGGTTCAACAACGACTGAGAAAAGGACCGCACTTTTCATCTGAAGGAGTATCACCACGCGAAGTTTGCAATTCTCTCCTTCCCTTATCCTCTCTCTTCCTCTCTTTCAGAAAAAATTTTGTCCCGCTCATTTTTTCAGTACATATCCCCCCGTTTCTTGCCCTTTCTCGAATAGTAATTATCTAAAGAATAAAAGCGACAAAACGCCAAACGATAAAGAAAGCCCGATTGTTTCTCGGATAGTTTTCGAGATGTCCCTCTTAGTTACGTCTGCACAAGACTCTGGAGATTCGCATAACTACTATATGTAGTATAGCAATAAAAATTTTTTTGCTGGCATATTAAAAAATCGAAGTGTACTAAAAAATAGATAAGGCTCTATGAACATAAACATTTTATGCTCTTACACTAATGCTCATAAATATGTATCCAAACATAATCCTTCATACTTGTCAAAAATCTGATGATAAATATTTGCAAATCGAGATATCTTTTAAAGTAAATTATAAATACAGTCGACTGCATATAAATCGTTGTATTTTGCAAATATAAACCATATTTTAATCTGTGCAATATGAAAAGAGCGACGGTTTCCTCGAAAGTAACATTCTTCACAAAATTAAATTTAAATTTAAGTTAAGATTAAGAATCGATTTAATTAGAATTAAATTTGTATACTTGTTGACATGAAATATAAATTTAATTCGACGTTGATTTAATCTAAATTAAATTAAAACTTGCGTGCGTATTGTCTAAATTAAATCCGAATTTGATTCGAACTTGGATTGATCGAAATTAAATTCAAATTTAATTAAAGATTCTATTATTCGATATTAATTTCGAATTTAATTCGCATCTTTCGTTAAATCAGATTAAAGTTTAATTTGAATTTGAGTTAATCGAGATTCAATTCGAATTTAGTGTTGGAATTAATTTTAAATTAAATTAAATTCGAGTTCGTATGTGTATGTATGTATGTGTGTGTGTATATATATATATATATATATATATATATATATATATATATATAAATACATACATATTAAGATTATAAATTCGAATTTAATCGACGAGATTTCATCGAAATTTATCTCAAGAATTAATTGAAATTATATTAAAATTCAATTTGCATTTCTCCTATGCCCTAAAAATCGCATCACCTAAATTATCTACTTTTAAATCCTTATTACGAGTACTATAATAATGTAGTAGAAGAATAGTAGCAGTAGTAGTGGTGGTAGTGGTAGTAGTAGTAGTAGTAGTAGTATTAGTAGTAGTAGTAGTAGTAGTGATGCTAGTGGTCGTGGTGATGGTGAAGGAGTTGGTAGTGGTTGTGGCGATGATGGTAGTAGTGATGACAATGATTGTGGTGGTAGTAATAGTAGTAGTAGTAGCAGCAACAGCAGCGATAGTAGTAATAGTTACAGTATAATAGTAGTAGTAATAGCGGTAGTGTATTAATAGTAGAAGTTTTCCTATTTCTTATTCCTTTTTTTTGCTTAAGCATTTTTTATCTTTTAATTTTTTTTTCTGACTCCTGATAATCTAATAGACATCTAAAAATAACACCCATTTTTTTGCTTTCAATACTATTTGTATTTATTCTCTACCTCTTTCTCTTCTGCTTTTCTTCATTTCCAGCAAACGTCAGTTAAAGGGCTCCGTATAAACTC